TGAAAACCCTATATGCTCACCAGGCTCCCAAGCCTGACCCACTCAGTTTTTTTATGATTACAGGTAGTGGACCCCGAGCATAGTCGGAGGATGACGTGAGATTTTTGGATTATAGGCCAGTAGTTGTAAATAACTGTAGTAAGGCTTATAATGTCTTGTTTATGCTTTTGATCTGTATCGGAACATGACATCCCGAGTTTTTGATAATATGGAAAAATATATACCTTCTTAATGAAGGGTTTTGATAAACTTTTATCATATGTTGTTTGGGGACCAATTCCGCAACATCTTTTGAAAAGATTTCTCTGATTTTATTTTAAAAAGCATAAATTAAATCGGTCTTTTCTGGCCGAGAAATTAGGGGATGTCACAACATGTCTCTGAAGGAGGATGATTTTGATGTTGAACATGACCTTGAAGAACTGGAGAAGCTACAGGAAGAAAGCGATTATGAACACATGAAAAGAAATTCGGAAGAGACTCCACAACATGGCCAATCATCTGCCATAGCGTGGGAGTTAGGAAAATCGCGACATGACGGGGAAAAACAAGGCCCCACAGCATGGCAATTAGATGCCCACATCGTGGCCACTAAGCAAAGCCAAAAATCAAGTTTCAAGCCTTTACCCGATCATTTGGAATACGCTTTCCTAGAAGATAATGAACATAATTCGGTGATCATAGCATCAGATTTGAAGCCTAAAGGGAAGGAGGGCTTAGTCAAGGTGTTGAAAAAATGAAAGAATGGCATCGCATGGACGACTTACAACATCAAAGGGATAATCCCTTCATATTGTTCACAGAAGATCATCTTGGAAGAAGGATCGAAGCCTGTAGTTCATCCACAACGTAGACTCAACCCGAACATGCAAGAGGTGGTTAAAAAGGAGGTGATGAAGTTGATGGATGCCAAGATAATTTACTTAATTTCGGATAGCCCATGGGTGATCCCGTTTCACGTGGTTCCAAAGAAAGAAGGAATGCCGGTGGTGACAAACGAAAAGAACGAGCTCATTCCTACCACAACGGTAACGATGCCACTTGCAATCATTTCCCGGTACCTTTTATTGATAAAATACTCGAACGTTTATCCAGTCACTTTTTCTATTGTTTCTTATATGGCTTTTTAGGTTATTTTCAAATTCATATTAATCCAAGAGACCAAGAGAAGGCCACATTCACTTGTCCAAGCGGGACCTTTGATTATCGTCGAATGCCCTTCGATTTATGCAACGCACCAGCCACTTTTCAAAGATGCATGACCGTTATTTTTCACAACATGGTGGAGGAAAGTCTTCATGGATGATTTTTTTGTGTTTGGTCATTCTTTCGATAATTGTTTATCGAACCTTGTTTTAATGGTTGCTAGGTGTGAAGAGACCAACGTGGTCTTGAATTGGGAAAAATGTCATTTCATGGTTACATAAGGAATAGTGCTAGGACATAAGGTTTCCAAGGCATGGATAGAGGTGGATCGAGCAAAGGTAGACAACATTTTGATCTTGCCACTACCAACAAATGTAAAAGGGGTGCAAAGTTTTTTAGGTCATGCAGGATTTTACTGCCGATTTATAAAAGATTTTTCAAAAATAACAAGGCCCTTAACCCAATTGCTTTTAAATGATGCTAATTTTGATTTTTCTAATGATTGTTTGAAAGCTTTTGAACTTCTTAAGGAAAAATTTATGACCACCCCAATTATGATCGCCCCGAATTGGAATCTTATATTTCAGTTGATGTGTGATGCTAGCAATTATGCATTAGGTGCAGTTTTAGGAAAAAGGGTTGAAAACTGTTTTCAACCAATCTATTATGCAAGAAAAATACTCAACCCGGCTCAAGAAAACTACACCACCACGAAAAAGGAATTATTATTCATTGTTTATGCTTTTGATAAATTTCGTCCTTACTTAATATTGTCTAAAACAATTGTGTTTACTGACCATTCTGCTTTGAAATTATTGCTTAGCAAACAGGATGCAAAACCAAGGTTGATTCGATGGGTACTATTACTTAAATAGTTTGACATTAAGATAAAAGATGAGAAGGGAATGGAAAACATGGCGGCTGACCATCGCTCGAGATTAAAGAGCCCGAAACTGGAGGAATTGAAAGAAGATGGTATTGATGATAACTTTCCGGATGAATACTTGATGATGATATCGGGAGAAGAGCCTTGGTTCGCAGATATTGTTAATTATCTTGCAAGCAATTACCTTCCAAAAGGTGTTTCCTATCAACAAAAGAAGAATCTATTTTCCGAACTTAAGTATTATTTTTGGGACGATCCATATCTATTCCGGAGTTATGCTGATGGGATCATACGAAGATGTGTTTTTGGAAAGGAAGCACAAAACATACTACATCATTGTCATAGTGGGCCTACCGGAGGGCATCATGGAGCACATTACAGGGGAAAGAAAGTATTTGATGCAGGATTCTTTTGGCCCACCATATTCAAATATGCAACTACCTTCATCAAAGAATGCGACGCATGTTAAAGATCGGGCAACATCTCTTCGTGCAATGAAATGCCTCAAAATATCATTCAAGTTTGTGAGGTGTTTGATATTTGGGGAATCGATTTTATGGGTCCATTTCTAGCCTCATGAGGTAACAAGTATATCCTAGTAGTGGTCGACTACATTTCAAAGTGGGCGGAAGTGCAAGCTTTACCCACTAATGATGCACATGTTGTCGTTAAATTTCTAAAAAAATTATTTTCTCGTTTTGGCATGCCTAGAGCATTAGGTAGTGATTGGGGAACCCACTTTTGTAATGAACAACTAGCAAAGGTGTTACAAAAATATGGTGTACACCATATGTTTTCAACACCTTATCATCCTCAAACAAGTGGGTAAACTGAAATAACAAATTGAGCATTAAAAAGAATACTTGAAAGGTCGGTCGGTAATACTAAAAAGGTATGGTCCGACAAGCTTGATGATGCATTGTGGGTGTTTCGAACCGCTTTTAAACTCCAATTGGTACTACGCCTTATAGGCTAGTTTTTGGTAAAAGTTGTCACTTACTGGTCGAAATCGAACACAAGGCATTTTAGGCTTTTAAGACTTGTAATTTTGAATTATCCGAATTGCGTACTAACCGTTTGATGCCGATGAATTCATTAGCAGACTTAAGAAATGAATCATACACTAACTCTTTGATCTATAAGGACAAAATAAAGAAATGACATGATGCTAGGTTAAGAGAGAATAAGAATTTTGAACCCGATCAAAAGGTCATACTTTTCAACTCAAGGATAAAGCTCTTTTCGGGAAAATTGAAGACACGATGGTATAAACCATTCATGGTCAGAGAAAATTTCCAACATGGAGCAATTGAGCTATACAAAGGGGATGGGATGACTTTTAAAGTTAATGGTAATAGAGCAAAGCATTACAAAAAAGGAATTCCAAGGGAAGATAAGGAAGGAGAGAACGTGATCTTGGAAGAATCCAATACAACTTAGAGAAGGAACTACAAGAAAAATACCCTTTAATGACGCGTGAACAATGACACTCGCTGATTTACGATACTCATTTTTGTGCGTCCTTAAAAATAATGGCAGCCTTCCAAAATTTGAAGGACAGAGGACACGCATTTTTGCGTGCCTTAAAATTAATGTCCAACAAAAAAAATACAAACACGGAGGGCACTTGTTTTAAATGCGTGTCCTCTAGAAATGTCGCTTTATATTTTTTTTTATCAAACGCGCGTTTCTGAAATTCTAAAATTTTGAAGTGCCCGCTTCTTTAATCTCTCCTCTATATCTCCCTTCATTCACTCATTCCTAGGGCTTTTTCAAGAACCATTCTACCTAGGGCTTTTTCAAGAAAATTCAAAACGCTCTCCGATTCTCGATCGGTTCTCCCAAGCCTCTTCAACAATCGACGATCTCACTTCAGGCTTACTTCTTCTCCGGTGAGCATAGGATCACCTCCCCGCGTCCATCCTCCTCGTCATAAAATCATCCAACTAGGGATTTTTTTTCTCGATCTCTTCAGGTCCGTCCTCCCAAAATAAGGAAGAAACTAGTTTGATTTCTCCCCTAAAACCTGGGACGACTTCTCCTAATCCTTTCTCTTCGCTTGTTGCATAAATTCCTCTCCACCGCCTTTGACCTCGCCTCTTTCTTCTTATCTCAATTTTCTTCCAATTTGATCCTGTTCTGTTATTCATCGTTTTCTCTTCATTCCTTTGATGGCTTCACGTAGATTTGTGATTCCTTTGATAGGTTCCGATTTCGATGGTGCTCCTCAAAATCGTCCGGAATCGATTGTTCCCTCGCTGCCACCGCTTGACCAGACCTGCACCTCGCGACAAACCATCATCGGTGTTGCTTGCGACAAATGGTAATCGGTGTTGCCGCCACCGTCCAAGATAAACACACACGCACGCTTCCAGCTTCCTCCATCGTTTCACTCTCTCTCACCAGAACACGAAGCCACCGATAGTACCTCCAGCGGTCTCTCTGTCCGCTCTCTCTCCCTCTCTCTCTCTCTCTCTCGATCAAACGTGATTCACGACGCCACAGTCTCTCTTATCTCTCTGCTCAGTCCGGCTTACGAAGTCAGGTACCCATCCAACCACCTCCGTCGGTATTCCTGTCAGCTCTTTTGGTCTCTCTACTTACTCAAACGCAAACCCATAGAGGTAATTTTCAATATACGATTTTGATTTCTGATTTCATTCAAAGGTATATTCCATTGCAATGAGCCTGTCGGCCATGGCAAAAACCCGCAACAATCTTTTGTGAATTATGAACTTATATGACTGTTAAAATGACTTTTTTAAGATAGAATTAGTATTAATTATTAAGTAACAAATTTAATTAATAACAAGTTAGGCAGAATCAAATTTGCAATTGCATTAAAGCCTTCTGATTTCACCAAGATTTCTTGATTTTTATAAAAAAAATGAAGACATCAGTGGAGTACAATTCATAGGTTTTGAAGCAATATATTGAAGAATTGTATTGGGGCTCTGGTAAACGTGTGATGTTGCTTGGTCATATTAAGGCTGGTGTGGATGTTGCAGCTGCATTATCACATTATTGGTGTGATCTTAAAGATAAAGTTACAGGATTGGCGCTTGTGCAGAGTCCTTATGGTGGAACCCCAATTGCATCTGACATCATGCGTGAAAGCCAAATTGCTGATAAAGAAACTAGAAGAATCATGGAGCTCATAGTCTGCAGGATCATCAAGGTAAATCTTACTTTTTTTTTACTTTATATGAGTAAATGACCATTTTACCCACCGTTTTTTTTCATAGGGGGGACATAAAGTCTCTTCAGGATCTAACATACTAGAAAAAGAAAGTATTTCTTGAGCAAACATGTTCTTTTTCAAACACCTAATGTTCATATGCTAGGTGTTCTATTTATTTTCTCTTTTCCCAATTTTCTCATTCGTCAGTTTTTTTAACTTTTTTTTATTTACAGATTCTTGGATCTACTATATAGTTTTCTTGATGGTGTTATCGATGGTGCAAAATATGAAGATGAATGTCGGACAGTTCTTGGCACGTGGTCGTTTCCCGTCTTCACATTAGATAAACTGATAGACAAGCTTACAAAATTCGTAACATACTTTTTTTTTACAAAATAAATTTGTATTTCCAAATCTACCCTTGGAGATATAAATTGACAATGCCTTTGACAGCTGCTAGCTATTGCAACAGATGAGGTTAATAACAAGCTTCTTGATCTTTTATGCTTATGAAAATTTGAGAAAAGACAAGGTTTTCATATAGTCAATGGACTTGAGTTCAGGATAGCCGCCTTTACATATAAGGTTAAGAAATTACATATTTACCCTTTTACCATCATTATAAATGGATTGATACTAATACTATGAAAAATTACTGATATCCAAACATGTTAAAACAATTCAAGTAAAGTATTTACTATGTGAAATGTCTTAACTTTAATGGGGCATACAGGGGTATTTTTGACATTTGGGCACGGTGTGTGTGACAGGTGTACTATGTTATGGGTACACTAATCATAAGAATTTATAATGTATTTTGTTTGTATGATTTCTTTCAAGAAAGTCGAACACTTTTGTTCTTGGACCAGGTGCTTGAGAAGATTTGTAATTCTACTTGCATATATGATCAAGTATTGTGATACTACCATACTGGTGGATCAAGGTAATTTCTTGATCTTTTTATTAAATTTACATATTTAAAAAAAATCATGAATTTTAATGTTCCTCAAAAGGCAACTCATATTTATGTTTGTTTATCTCTACACTTAGGACTATTAAATGAAAGAATGGATCAAAAAAGCAGAAGCAACAAAGAAAAAAAACCCAAATTCCCATAGGATTTAAGGCTCTGTGTTAACTGTTAAGTGAAGTTTCCAAGGTAAACAACATTTCCCTCATCCTCTTCAGATTCCCTTTTAAGTCTTTTTTTTTAAATTTAGTCCACTCAGTCATTGTCTATAATTTCCATCTTTCAGAAACTAAAATCATTGTATTCAAGCACCAAGACTGGGTTTGCAAACCTGCAATTGTAGCTCCAAAATGATCTAAAACAAATGGGTATGCCGATTGCAATTCCATTCTTCAAGTTTCACTAAGTCTTTTTTTACACTTAACATTAACGAATTTATTTTTTGGCTGATTGTTTCAGAGACTGAAGTAGAGGTATTGTCCACGGCTGCAAATGGATACCATAAGGTTGTGAAAGAAATCAGACTTTATACAACATGGTCGAAGATTTAAAAGGTAAACAACTTATTTTTAATTTTGTTAAACTTTAAACTTTATACTAAAATGTTGTCTTTTCCTTCCACAATCTTTAAATTTTCATGAAACATTCTGGTTTACTGCAGGATTAGACCTGCATTGCATTTAGAACTGACACAAAGAACGTGATTGATTACATTGGATAAGATGGGTCATTAGTGGTTTTAGATCCTTTAAAACATCATAATGATGGAAAAAAGTTGTTTCAATTCAACCACGTTTTTGGGCCAACCGGTACTCAAGGTAATAATAAAATTCAAACATTTTTCCACAATTCTAGAACCTTCTGTTGACTAATGTTTTGACTTTTATAAGAGGAGGTTTTTGCTGACAAGAGAAAAAAAACGAACACAGCGCCAAATACGCGCATGATTCCCCTATAGTTTCCATTAATTTGCAGGGATGAAATGAGTGCTTTGGAATCTTCTTAACCCGATCAGGTGTGTATTCACTTTGCTCTTTTCTCTATCATATCATCTTGTATTGTATTGCATGTTAAGTTACCGATTTGCCATGTGCAGGTTCTGACAGCTCTAGCAACCTCCTTCCATGCCCTGCAGCCTCTCAAAGTTCCTACATTTAGGTTATTCTCTTAGAAAGGAAATTGTCAAAGGAGATTGTCAAAGGAGAATTTAGTCATGGGTTTCTTTTAATGTTGTACATGTTTTGTTTTCTGTAATAAATATTATGCAATATTAGCAATGTGTTACATTTACTTACTATTGGAATGATTATTTGTATTTGACATATTAGTGCAATGAATTATTTTTATTGTTTATGGCATTTTATTTTGTATTATGAGACTTTTAATGTGTTATTTAATTTGAAATTAGTAAATCTATCAAAAATATATAATTTTAAAAACATTTAAAATTATGACACGCAAAAATGCGTGTCGTCTTCCTTTATGACAGGGGCTTTCTTGATACGCATTGCGTGTCATAAACACGCGCATCGTAAGGTTACGACACGCAAATGCGTGTCGTCTTCCGTTATGACAGGGCCTTCCTTGATACGCATTGCGTGTCATAACTGCGCGTCGTAAATGCATGTCATAAATGCGCGTCGTAAATAGACGACGCGCAAAAGCGTGTCGTCTCTAGTTATGACGGGGCCTTCCTTGACACGCATTTGCGCGTCGTCCGAGCGTTTTACGACACGCATTGCGCGTCGTCCTAAAAAAAGAAGCTCTTACGGGAGGCAACCTGCGATTTGAATTTTCTTTCCCTTTCCCTTTCCCTTTTTCTTTTTGAGTTTTGTTTTCTTTTATTCATTTTTAGTTTGTTTTTACAAGGTTTTTCACTCTTTAGTCATTGTCATTAATTGTTTGTGTGAGGGAAAGTAACGACAAGTGTGGGGTGTGGTGAAATTGTGATTGAAAAATTCAAAAAATTATTTTATGAAACATAATAGCCACGACGTGGATGAGTTGTTCCCACACCGTGGGCTACTAAGATTTCCTGTAATACACAGATTTTCAAAACGCCGTGGTGTGGCCTCCATCGCCACGATATGGGGATAATTTTTACGCAGTGAATAGATTTTAAACCCTAATCAACCTAATTTCACCTTTTACCCAACACATGAATTCTCCCACACCGTCAGCTTCTCTCACGACGGTTTTTTGCCTTTTTCTCCCAATTTCTTCAAGTTTTGTGCAATTCAACCAACAAGGTATGCGATTTCTTTCTTTAAACGACTTATTATTGCATATAATCTGTTGTGGGTGCTTCAATTTGAGAAATTTTCACGATTTCTTGGATTAGAAAAATCTAGGGTTTATGTGTAGATCGAAATCTTCCCATTTCAATGATTTTTGTGGTAATTGTTGTGCTTAATAGTCTCGACATATGGCCTGGATAAAACCCCATTGATTGGAACTGATTTACAGCAGCCGTATATACCCAAGTTTGACCAAAATGTTCTTGTTGTTCTTGCGCCACGACGTGGGCACTGGGCAAGGAGAAAATATTTTTACGATTTATTCTAATTTGAGGGATGTTTTTGGCTGTGTTTCTGCTGTTTGATTTTACAGGTAAGGGACCCCCTAAGCAACCTTCTCCACGAAGGGATCACCAATGAAATGCGGATTTTCCGTGGTATGACTTTCCTGAAGTCATGGCGCCTAGTGTCTTATTGGAATGGAGAAACAAGCTGGGATAGTTACGTACAAAAGACATTGATATTCCACCAATTTTGGTCTGTAGTTGGATTCAAGATGCGGGGCTTGGGGAACTAGTTGATCCATATATCACAAAGTTATTTATGCAAGATGGGGTATGAATTATTTGCACAGGGTGGAGATGGTTATTTAGGGTTCAAGAGCCGGTGTATGTGGAGCTATGTGTGGAGTTTTTCGCTACCGTCCATTTCAGGAAACGAGATGACATCAATTATCCTGAGAATTTTACTTTTTGTCTTGGGGGAAAAAGGAGGGAAATGAGTCTTGCTAAGCTTGCCTAGTGGTGGGATCTATACACCGATAAGAGGAAACTTCTCCTGACTTTGTTATCTTTTTGGATCATTGCTACAAATGATTGCCGGCAGAAGTTACTAAAGCTGGATGGTGGACCACTATTGCCAGTGGGGCATACACCGCAAGAACTGCAAATGAAGGAAATATCAAAAAGGTTGTGCACCGATTCATTCACAGGCTGATCACATTTTCTGTCAATCAAAAGAAGGAAGGGGATCGAGTTCCTCAACTCCATGTATTATTTTTCTTGTGTATCATTACACCAAATATATTTTGTCACCTCCCTTACTATATTACATACTTTTTAACAGAGCGGGCAGGAAAGAGCAGGACCGGGGCTCCTATTTATGGTGGAATGTTGGTCACCAAATTGGCTAGATATTTTGGGATATTTGATGAGTCTGAGGCTATGTTTTTGACGAGGATGGATGGCTGCCAGCTGTATTGTAACATACACGTTTAGTTATCATGTTATGTAATTTTTAAAAGTGAATAATATTACGAAATATTATGTGAAATTGAGTGTTGAGTCCTAACGGATAGTTTTTACTAGGAAATAAAGTAAAACTATGTTTAGGATCACTCAGAAAGTATTGAAAGTCTTATGAGATTCCAATCAAAAGGCAAATAGTGAAATTTAACGAAAATATAAAATTTTAAATAAGTAAAATTTTATTATTGAAAGTTGTAGATAATCTCATTATAAACATGTAGGCGAAAACCTCATCAAAATCTGAGTTATAACGAAGAAGTTATGACCAATCGAAGATCCGCGACAAAACCGGCACGGCGACGAATGACGTAAAAAGTGAGTTTTTGATAAGCTACTTTTTAGCCTTAGTTATCTAAATGAAACTCGTAGTATTCGTTAAACCAAGAAGTTCGATAAAAAGAACGCCAAAATCTGACTTCGTATGAGGAAGTTATGATTTTTCTATGTTTCAGCTTAGCAGTAGACAGTTAAAAACTCGAATTTTAGATCGAGTGATTTTTAGCCGAAACAACCTAAACGAGAATTGAAGATCTCGTCAATAGTAGTACAACGGTAAAAAGTCTGACGAAAACGGATGTCAGATGAAGAAGTTATGAATCTTTAACGGATTTACCAGTCCCGGTCTGTTAAAAATAATAATATTAAAAATAAATTCAAAATTAGCCGACAAAGTCTAAATGAAAGTTGTAGAATATATTCCCGCCTACGCGTGCATATAAAGAACGTCAAAAACGGAGCCCGTATGCGAAAGTTATGAATTTTAGAAGATTTGGGCTCATTTTCCGAGGAATCTCGGATGGATAAGCCTTATCCGGAACCGGCCACGTCA